AAAAAAAAAAAAAAAAAAGGGATTTGAGATTTAACTTCAGATACGAATTGGTACCCAAATAGATTAACTTTTGCGATTGGCTTTTCAAAGTAAAAAAAGGTAACTTTACTTAGCAATTCGTGTCTCTACCTTTGCTTTCTCGGGCCCCGGGATGATCACATACTCTCTTTATCCCTTGGGAGTAAGCAGGAGAATGTGGGCCGACAGCATGGAACGATAACATTGCAGAAGGCAGCAAGCACACACATCTGGAGCCTTTTATTAGCTAGGGAGAACCCAGGTGGTGTGGCTGAGCGGGGGTGAGTGGTCCTGTGTGGTTGAATCCATCTGAGAAGCTAGTGCTGCTGTATCCTCTTCAGAGGAGTTGTTACATTTGAATTTCATAATGTGTGATGCTGTCACTTTGAATGTGGTGTGCAGATGAAGGAAGTAAATCCAGGGCTTTCTTCTCAGTCGGAAACATCAGGGAGTGGAAGAGTTTGGGACTTGCAGTTAAGTCTGCTGGAACTCGGACTAGGAGTGGAGGGATGTGCTCTAGCTCAGGTCAACACAAGAAGGGACTTGAAAGAAGTGTCTCTTTGCTGCTTAATTCACAGCCTGGTAAGACACAAGAGTCTGCCTTCCTTTTAGATGGGAAGACAGTAAGCTAGAGATACTTATAATGTAAAGAATTGAAAGGTAAGGCTGAGTGCAATGACTCATGCCTATAATCCCAGCACTTTGGGAGGCCGAGGTAAGAGGATTGCCTGAGCCCACGGGTTTGAGAGCAGCCTGGGCAACTTGGCAAGACCTCATTTCTACAATAGATGAAAAAATTAGCCAGGTGTGGTGGTACACACCTGTAGTTCCAGCTACTTGGGAGGCTGATGCGGAAGGATTGCCCATCCCAACAGGTCGAGGCAGTGGGTGCACTGCACTCTAGCCTGGGTGACAGAGTGAGATTCTGACTCAAAAAATAAAATAAAAAAGAAAGGTGAACACATGCATACTAGTTATAATGCAGACATGGGTCACATTCACAATGAAAAGATTGAAAACATCAAATGGTATGTTTTGACCAGTGGTTCTCAACTGTAGCTGCACATTGAAATCACCCCAAGAGCTGACATATATACCCATGCTTGGGTCCCCACTCCAGCCTCCCTAATTAGTCTGGGGTGTGATCTGAAAATGAAGATCTTTTAAAGATTCTCGAACAATTTTGATGCATACTGAGACTGAGAGAAATCATAAGAGAAAAAGTTTTTCCTGGATGTGGCCTGTTCTGGTTAGGTGCATTTCCACTGAAAGCTTTTTCTTGATGATCTCTGCCCTATCACCTGTGCTGTTGGACTGAAGAACAATGTGCAGGAGGTGCCATCAGCTCTTCTGATAGTTTTAAACATCATGCTGGCATAAGGTAAGGTTTGTAGTTGTTGATATATAGTTTTTTTATTTATTGTAGAAATGATGTCTTGCCAAGTTGCCCAGGGTGGTCTCGAACCCGCGGGCTCAGGTAGTCCTCTCACCTTGGTCTCCCAAAGTACGGGGATTATAGGTGTGAGCCATCACGCCCAGCCTCACCTTTCAATTCTGGTGTGAGAGAGTATGTGTGTATGTGCAACAGAGAAAGGCCTTGGACCAGTTACTTCATTGATCTTACTTGAAGAAGTCTCTTTACAGCTCTAAAAGCTTGGACTTTGGAAGGAGAGGTAAATAAGAGAGAATTTAGGGGGGTCATCGGTGTAGAAATAAACGGAATTAAAACGACTGGAAGATAAACCACATCACATTTCTCTTCCTTTGAAGTAAACTCTTGTGTTCACGCATGAATTCTCAGTGGCCACTGGAGGTCACTGTCCCCACTGAATCTGCCTAGCACTTGTGCTTCCTAGGCTTGAAGGCTCTGTCCCTCAGCCCTGCCTCCTCTGATCCATGGCCCTGTCCTGTCTTAGGAGCAGGCTTGGCCGGAGTGGCCTTAGATACTGGCTTCAGCCCCTGGTGGCCAGACCTAGAGTAGAGCATTGTTCAGTAAATACAGGTGTGAGAGGGAGGATTGCTACAGTAATATGTGAATCGTCATCCATGTGTTCATTCATTCATTCATTTAAGAAATGTTTATCAAACACTGTCTAGGTACTGCAGGACACACCAGGGAACAAGCCAGACAAATTGCTGTCCTCATGGAGTTTATGTTCTGATTTGGGGAGACCAACAAAAACATAAATGCATATTAGAAGGCGAATATGGGAAAAACCAACTGATGAGGGATCTTAGGAGTGCTGGGTTGGAGAGAGTGGGCTGCAGCTTAAAGCGAGGATGACCTTATTAAGGTCAACAGAACACAGGAGTGGGGTGGGGAAGAAAGTAATCCGACCAGGTATTCTATGTTTTTTGAGGAGCAGGACTTCTTTGTCATCTTGGGTACCCAATGTATTCTCTGTACAGGCTGTGTGTTTTGGGATCCCCAGCGCCTCCCTACTTGTGAAACCCCAGTGAGCTAGAGTTGCCTTGTCAGCCACTCAACCTCCCTTCCCTCCTCCCACTCACCTCTGGGTGAGTGAACTTGACACCTAACAGACTGAGTACTTGCACAAGCCACTAGGGGGTAATATTGCTAGTCCTTCACTTCCCTGTTCCTGTTACCCCCCACTCCCCCCCAGCTCTTGCTTGCCCCCAAAAAACCCCCAAAGAGACAGGGACACTGTCTCCTTCCAGGACTCAGAGACCTGGAAGGGGAGGGGCTGACCCAGCACTCACCCCACCCCACCCCTGCATTTCTCCTCAAACCTGCCAGGGGCTCTGACCACCAACGGAGACCCACAGTTATCTCAAAGAAATAACCCGTGATTGCACTTGAAATGCCTTTTGCAGGGAATGTTCTATGACAGAAGGAAGCATCAAGTCGTTTTGAGTATTCAGAAAAGAGGACCAGTGTATTAACCCCACATCATCATTGCTAAGCATTTGTTACCGAATCTTTTAAAAAGGCAATGCTTGTTGCTTTACATTTCTCAGAGCCAAAACTTGAGGAAAAACCAGGACTCTACAGGGAACCCAAATTAGTGGAAATATTTTTCTCTCCATGCTGATATATATATATGTATTTTGAGTTGCAGTCTCACTGTTGTCCAGGCTGTAGTGCAATGGTATGATCACGGCTCCCTGTAGCCTCAACCTCCTGGGCCCAGGAGATCCTCCCCCTTTAGCCTGCTGAGTAGCTGGGACAACAGGCATGCACCATCATGTCTGGCTAATTTTTTCACTTTTTGTAGAAATGAGGTCTTGCTATGTTGCCCGGGCTGGTTTCAAACTCCTGGACTCAAGCAGTCTACTCACCTCGGCCTCCCAAAGTAGTGTAATTACAGGTGTGAGCCACTACGCCTGGCCTGTTCTTTAGATTTCTACAGAATCCTCAACACTCAAGATGGCCTTAGATATGAACCAACTCTTAACCTTGATGTCTCTGGGCCTCTGGTCTGCCATGCTGCCATACTGGGTAGGTAGCCTGTTTTCCCCCTCTTGGTCCACACCCTCCCCATGCAAAAACTGCGTTATTTTATTTG